ATGGCAATAGTGAAAAGTTCCGCTTCTGTCCAAATGAATATATAGTCCAATCAANTAGGAAAAGTGTTGATAGTTAAATGTGGTTGATCTTAGCAATTAGCCACTGGGTAAGATGCTATTGCAGATACAGTTCTGTTCAGTATTCATGTACCAAATGGCTAGATTTTCTTACTATGAAACTTATTATGTCCTTGTATATAAAGTAATACTGGTCACGACACAACTATTGTTTACGGCATGAATAAAGAATATTCGTGTTGACCGAGTTATAAATATATGTGTAGATGTGAAAATATATTAAAAATAGAAAGATTGTCGTTTTTAAAGTGCCTTTAGTATTTTATTTGCACTCTAAAATTTAACGTTTATATTTCAGTAAAGCAAAAACTGGTATCGCGAATACTCTTCATTCATCCATGAATATAATTTAATTTCACTTAAATTATAATTTTGTGTAATAATATGTAGTACATAATAAATTGTGTTTTCTTAAAACTTCATTTTTTGACCTTGCCTATATTGATTTCCGATAAATAAGGGTCGAGTTAAGTTTTAGGAAAAACATTTAACTATGATTAACAATAAAATATGTTTAATTAAGTTCTACAGCCCTGATAATTATAATTTAGTAGGTTAAAATAAAACTATTGTGAATAGAGGTGAAGGTCGAAATGTTGTGTTAATTTGTAAATAGTTTAAAAAGAAAAAATCACACGTGTAATGTACAAATGAATATATTTATGATTATACGAATATATACAACCGTGTAAATTAAATATTTTTGCGACATGGTGTATAGTTAAGCGACAGTAGTTGCGGCAAATAGTTATTTTCCATACATTACGTGTTTTAAGAGATGTGCTCACGGGGCTTCACACAGTTCTTGCATCATGTCACCCACGACTTGAACATATCAACTAAAATCAACGAGTCAACTTTGCAGGTTACCTATAATATTCTTAGTTTACCGTATCAAATACGCACAACTTCTAATGTACATAATTATGTACGTCTGTTAATCAGAAAATGTATATGGTCGAGTCATTCACGTTTCATTTATCTGTAGTTCCAGCCGTTCATAACACGGCGTATTCGTTTATACCTCATTTAAACCATCAGTAACGAATTATTATGAATATAATATCTGAAATACCGAATAACTCGTTGGTAAAGTTTTCTGAATTATCAAAACGATGTACATTCATTATAGTCACATTGGGGTCATGAGAGAGTATTTAAATTGGGACCTTGATGTTTCACTTGTTTGGACAATAAGAATTGTTAGTTACCAATTTATCTGCCAGGTCTGCCACAGTTCGAACATGCATTAGAATTTGCCTTAAGATGAATGCTTTAAGTATGTAACGACAATGCCAGGGGCTTTTTATTATGTATTACTGGATGTTTGATACAAACGAATGGGTAAAATGCTCATGCGTGTTCACTAATTAATGGCAAAGCGGAGCTCGTTTGATATCTTTGCCATGATGTATTTGTGTATATAGTTATGGATTGTACATACTATGTATGCTGTGTGTAGAACTGTAGATTGTTTCAAGTTTTTAGTCATGTAAGGCAAGTTGTAGTTTACACAGGAGTACACGCGTTAATTTTAGTTGGGTGTCTACTTTTTGAGTTGATAAATCACTAATCAATCCATTTATGATAATAATATTTGGGGCATGTTTTCTGAATATTATAAACAAAAATGGAAATAATACGTTGGCGGTGCAATTGTTACATTTAATTTGATATGATCCTAAAAGTAATAATTTTAAAATAACGGCTATGATTTATGCTACCTAATAAAGGTCTAATGGTTATAAATATATAAAATATTTTATAAAATCTATAGAATGTTACCTTTGCGTATCTTACATATTGGATTAATCTTTTTGTAATTATTTTTCAATTTCTATTAAAGGTGAATGTTGCAAATGAGTTTGTCTAATTATCGTTTAGCCAATTTTTACTTTAGTTACATTGTGTACATAATAATAACATAGCATAAGTAGTCCACATGAAATCATTGCCTGTATGCATGGAGAGCTTGCGAGAAGCATCAGTTATTATTGTATTAACACATGACGCGAGAAAGGTTCTCATCACCGATTTTAAAATATTCAAATGTATTTGTTGCTACAGTTTGACATTTTGTCAAGTTGCTGTTAGAAACGAGATGTAGTGTTTGCTGAATGGGATTTTTATACGGAATTTATTGAATGTATAGAAATAAATTGCTGCTTCTATGTGCTATTTGATATATCTGTTCGGCAAATGTTTCTTAAATGTCTTGTAGTAATTAATGAATTGCAAAACTTCGAATATTTAGAATGTATAATTTATCTTAAGTTTGGAATGAACATGTGCCTAAATTACGTTAGTACTTAAAATATTACGAATATCTGTATTTCGAATTCCCTAAGCAACAGTACCGATGTAATTTAACTGAAACCCCATGTAACGTCAATATAATCTGGTTCTTAAGTGCAATACATGAATTATGTCCATTGAATGGTGTTATTTTGGAAGTGTAGATTTTTTCTTCAAAACTAAATAAAAATAGATGTGATAGGGCTGTAAATTAAGGTTAATAATATAGTCCTTTTAGTGAAAAATCCTTAAAAGTGCACTAAAGCATTATGGGAGTTTATTATATTGTGCTCTGGTGAGTGTGTACAACCAGCAAGACTGTCAATTGCTGTAGATATCCTCTTACGATAGTTATATGATATAGTATTTTTATTAGACAAAAATACAATAAATGTGTGAAGTCCATATTGAAGTGTTTGATTTCCTTTTTTTAGTTGTAATTTTATTGAATAGTGAAGGTTAGCGTCTAACGCACGTTCTGTAGCCACTCGCTCGATCTAACTTCGATTTTTTGAGATACCATTTCATATTATTTTCTATTTATGAAGAATCAGAACCCACTTTAAAAATCCACAAAAACTTCCCGGAAAGGCTATTCCTAAAAAACCGGCCAAGTGCGAGTCGGACTCGCGCACCGAGGGTTCCGTACCATTGATTTATGAAATTAAATTTTTTTTTTTATTTAAGTTATTAGAATGAAAGAATACGCGGTAATAAGCGGTTTACGATTTACGAGGTATTAAAAAAAATCTACTTACTAGATCTCGTTCAAAACAATTTTCGTTGGTAGTTTTTATAGTATGTGCATCATGTTTTTTTTAGATTTTTCATTTTCTTATTTTAGAAGTTAGAGGGGGGGGACCAACTTTTTTCCACTTTGGAAGCGTCTGTCACGCAAACTATTCGGTTTAGAAAAAAAGTATTTTAGAAACCTCGATATCATTTTTGAAGACCTATCCATAGATACCCCACACGTATGTGTTCGATGAAAAAAAATTTTTTGCGTTTCAGTTCTAAGTATGGGGAACCCCCAATATTTATTATTATTTTTTTATTTTTTCATCAAAATCTTAATGCGCTTCACAGAATACATCTACTTACTAAGTTTCAACAGTATAGCTCTTATAGTTTCGGAAAAAAATGGCTGTGACATACAGACGGACGGACGGACGGACAGACAGACATGACGAATCTATAAGGGTTCCGTTTTTTGCCATTTGGCTACGGAACCCTAAAAACGAACATACAACATATACTACACATACATAACATAACCAAGAACATTTGGTATGAGGAGTAAGAAATATCCCATCAAAAACAATACTTGTCAAAAAAACCAAGTCTCGCAACTCAGTTGTTCTACGGTAAAAAGTTGTGAGATCCATGTAATACCAAGTCCAGGCCAGGAAATCTTTAACGTTTTACATAAATTATTGACTTGGCCATCGCACTAAATAATTATTTACAAGTTTTTTTGACAAGTATTGTTTTTGATGGGATCTCATTTCTTTTTGTATTTTGTAGACAGCAGTTATGTATCTAGAAAACTGGACCGAAATTGAAAAATTTTACTCGACTTGGCGGTTGCACTACCGTGCCCCCAAATATTTTAGTTTTTCCTTGATTCATACACCAAACACTACTTATATTCCAAATTTGAAGCTTCTAGGTCTGCTAGAAGTGCCTTAGAGTTTTGATGATCGGTGAGTCAGTGAGTGACAAAATTAAGTAACTTTGACCCGTTATAATTCTTAAACTACTGGTTCAAATTGAATGAAATTTTAAATATACCGTGTCTTTACAATGCCTGCATAGCTAATGAAAATTCAGCCTTCTAGTTTTATCCACAACGAAGTTACAGGCAGTCGAAAATGGCCTGAATTGCTTCGAGAAAAGGATGGTACGGCCGTGCCGCTTTTTTGCTCGACTTGGTGGGGGCACTGCCGTGCCCCCAGATAAATATTGTAATACCTAGTGCGAAATCATTACGGGATTCTGAAATCCCCAAAATTCATTTCCTTCACTGTCACCTAAACAGAATACAACTTGCTCCAATGATAAGAGTGAAAATAATCTCGACTCAAGAGGGCAAAAAGTTAAACCCGGGATAACACTGATTTAAATGACATTTTCCATACTAAGGCTGAGTTGCACCACCTAACTTTTGACCGTAACTTAAACGATAACCGTATGGAGTTTGTTAGATTTTTGACGTTTGTCAAAGTTAAAGTAAGATGGTGCAACCCAGCCTTAATAGAGTTTAACTTTTTTATTAAGGGGGAGAGGGTCTGGTTTCGATTCACACGTATTTGTGGTGCTGTGTAGTGTGATATTACATGAGCAAGAGCAATTTGTCAGCAACTAGGTAAGTACTTAAATGTGCTGAGATGATCTCTTTGTGTAGAAATATTTGGTAATATTAAGTAATTTGTGACGTTACTTATCCTCGGAACACGTGATTCCAAAAACCGCTACGTCGAAGGAAGGTGATTTGTGACGACATCACTTTCTAGAGCCCTCAATACGGAGCAATGCCGTATAGCACATTTGATAGTCCGGAAAACTTAACACCGAAAACAGCTGACGTCCTTTCATTATAGGCTGGGGACGTCATAACTTATAAACGAGTCCAAGCGCCGGGCGCGTACAGTTGTCTCTTGGATGCCGCCGCGTACGCGACACTCCAACCCTTGAAATGTACGATTTGCTTTCGTAAGTTCATTACATAAAATGTAATGTTTCAGTGGACTACAGCTCTTCGACAGAACTTTATTGTGTAAATAAAAGTGCGGCTGACGCGAGTGAGGCGAACTTTAGTGATCGTGATGCAAATAATAATTTCTTCGCTTTTTGGGCTCGCGCTTTTGCAAGGTATATCATTGACTTTTTCACAAAAATTATTAGGTAATAAATTAAGACAACTTGACGAGGGCGTTCAAAGAGCTAATATTTAAATAAGCAGAACACATGGTATAGTTTTTATTAATCTTAGAAATAATTGAAATGAAGATAATGACTTTTTTTCATACACGTTCTCTCATAATTATAGTATTGACAGAAATTATCCTATTACGTGCAGTAGGTAATTAAACTCCTAGGACTCAATGAATTAATAAAAGCGTTAGTAGATCATAATATAATAATAAGGTGCATTAAGTGCACGATTACCTAAGTATCCATAACTTGAAAGCTGGGTTTGTAAGGGTTGATTGATATTGATACTTAGGTATAATGCACCCAAGTCTTACCTCTCTCTTATATTTTAAAACCTAATAAAAATCTAAGTAGAACTTTTTAAAACCTTGAAATTAGGAACCTTGATTAAGGAACTTGATAAAATTTGTAATAAGTAGCATTGTTTAAAAGGTATCATTCTAGTCATCCAGTATTTTGAACTGTTGATATCCGGACATAAGGCTCGCCCCACGGATGGCTCGAATCAAACGGATTAAGGAAGTCCAATTTTCGAGCAGTTCATCAACCGAATGGGACCATAAATCTATCACTATACAGTGGGACAATATCTGGGGCAGATCAGCGTAGACTAATAGCTTAGCTATGCTATTAGTTTGCATAGACTTTAAATTAGAACCCCCATTTCACTCCACCTCTGAAGAACTCTACATATTATAACGCTAGTACGAATGCCGAATCACTATCTAGCCTATACCTACTTAAATGAAACACATAGAACCCTGGCATATTAAGCGAAATTACGCATTCAAAAACTAGGTAACATTACCTACTTGGAATATTATTTTTATGTCGTTTAACTTTAAAAACTTTATTATTTCCGATTTGTAATTGATTCATGTGAGTACATACCTGTATGACAAATTAAGTGTTCATTGAAATGGTGCAGCAAGTTTAACTGTACTGATAACTGACATACCTAATACTTTACTCACTTAAAACTACTCAGAATTTTCAGAAGTAATGTAGAAGTAAGTAAGTGTAATACAAAAGGACTTCAAGCACGTACCTACATATTAAGGGAGAGTCCGGTAATTTGGACAAGTTTTTTTCAATCCCATTTTACACATAGTTTTCTTTTGTTTTTGCTAATGTTCATGGTATATAATTAAAGAGAAATTATTCAATTTACTATTTCATAGGTATTAGTAATCAACACAATTGTTGTATATTTAGCACAAATCAACAAAATACGAGTTCAGAGCTTCGGTCCAATTTAGCCAACCGGTTCGATAATTTGTACCACAGGGTTACTAAATTGGATTTTAATAAATTCAAGCCTATAAAAAAACTATGGCAAAACTTTATACGATACATTCTTAACAAATTAGGTAACGAAAAGGAACAGTAGTTAATAACATAGACAATCGATATTGTTTTACACGTTATCACGATTTTGAGTAAAAGTTTTGTAATTCCAATTATCGTAACGCACACTTGTACCTAATCAACTTTGCCAGTCTTTTGCTTTCATTTATTGTTAGTCAAACATAACAACGCTATTATAACTTCAAAATATGATTTACTAAAAAAAATTCAAAATCCTTTGGTAAAGTTCCATACAACTTGATGTGGTACAATTTAGCCGACTAGGTGATAGTGCTTTTAAAAAATCGGTAAAAAATATAGCTTATAAATACCGAAAAATGTTTCAAATAATTGTAATTGTAATCCGCACTAATTTATGCTTCTAAATAATATATTAGAAACACCCTGTGATTCAACTTAACAACATTACAAACTAAACATGCATTGTCAAAAGTTACTTGAAAACAATGAAAAAAAACTTTTCAAAATAAAACACACGTGTTCGTTGTCACGGCAAAAACCACATGGCCGATATTAATTGAATTTAGTTGTGTATCGCTGAGTGTTCCAATTACAGACATTCAATAAATACTTTACGAAATATGAGGATGGTACAATTTACCCGGCGGTACAATATACCGAACTCTCCCCTATGCAATGACAGCTCTGAACATGTCACCCCTATCCATCTTTTAAAATTGGAAATCGTGGAGCTTATTATTAAGCCTATCGATAGCTAAAGGTTTTCCATTGTTTTTGGGACATCCTGTGTATAGGCTGCCCTAAACTCGCGAATGTGCAATAAGAACTCAATCGAAGCAAAGTGAACTTTTTGTGTTTCACACGAATTATCCTGTAGTAGGTAAGTAGATAAAGGTGCAATGTCGCAATTGAAAAATTTATGGAGCGTGTGATTTTTTACGATATTTTCAATGTTATTCACAGTAAATATTGCACTTATCAAATTTAACGGTCCATATTGACGTAGTATTTTAACGCCGCATGCTGTGTCAGCGGTGCGCGGGCGCAGTGAACCGCCTTGAGCGCGAGAAGCCCTAATTCCCGGTGAGGTCAATGTAGAAAATATTTTCTTTTCTTAAAATATTAATTTTCTTTAGAACCTCAATAAATAAGTGTTCAGTGCTTCCTGACGCAGGTTAAATAATACGATGTCTATAGATTTGCCCAACATTTTACGACGTAAGTTATGAACCTATTCACTATGTTTACATCGATTGTTATGTACAAAAATATTTGTACACAATTTCGGGTCTTATTATTATCCAGTAATAAAGGATTATGAACACGTGACGGCGTGATATTATATTTTAATTTTCCTGATGGACATAATGACGTGTTGCTGACGTATCTAAACACAATTATGTGGGTGAATGGAAATAATTATAATATATTTTTTGAAAAATATTTACCTACTTACTTACTTTACCAAGAAATGGATACGTCATTACTTTGATGCATTAAATTCAATTTCAGTGTTAATATGTTAAATCCCATATAACTAAGTAGTTTCTTCCTACACTAACAAAAACCTTAATCAAGCATCAGATTTATTCATATTTAAATGTAAGCTTTGTTTCTAAGATGGTGTAAAAATCAGCAAATATGGAATATACCTTTCGACATCTCCCAGCACACCCAGACGCGGAGTCGGGGACACGGCGTAAATTCTATTTATTAGGCCTATTATTTAGGTAATCGAAGATCAAAATCTTTATAAATATTGTTCATTCGTGTGTGCTACTCGTATTTCAAAATACGGGACTAAACGAGCATCTTCAAGACAAGATTGTCTGAAAGATGTGTGTGTACCCATGTAAGTACTTTAATTGTTCTATTTAAAATTCTTTATTTATACCTACTTAGGTTTTATTAATCTAAGTACTTAGGCAATACTTCAATGCTTTTTGTCTACCCCTATACTAAAGTATCACGTTAGCTTATCATTTCCTGTATTACTATTCTGTAATTGCGCCATAATAAAAGTACCTACATGAAGTGGATTTCGTTATAATTGCTTGAACTAGAACGTGTGAAGAGACCTACTCGAGAATCTGCAAGCGTTAGGGCACTAATTTCACTTGAGTATTATTACGTACTCTATTCTGGAAAATGTAGAGAATTATTATGATGGTTGGTAATATCTATGATTGAGTATAAGTAGATAGATAAAGGAAGTACCTCTTGTAAAAGTAACCTACATTATCTCTATTTTCAGCCTTGTAAACAATATGTATAAAGTTACTTTCCGAGTAGGTATTTCCTATGTATGTACCTACCTGAACGTTGCTTCAGCAAGAGAGCTCTTAGTACAAAAATAAATAATTGTAAATATGTGTCTTTAATACATAAACATAATAATAAGAAAATGTAACTTTAGGAACTATATTGATAAAACGCAACGAGTGCTCTAATTTTTTCCAAACGTTGCGTTATTGCTTCTTATGTTTGCGAAAATACTGCCTACCTACAAGTAAAAAATTGCATTGCATAGTTTAAAGTTTCTATTAGAAACTAAGGTTACATATTTTTTGTAGAGTCGCTGGTCATACTCGTATTTTTGTCTCTAATATAAAATGGGCGCTACCAAAGGCTGAAACAAAAAATTACGTTATCTAAAAAAATAGGCTTAGGCTTGCATTCATGGAATGCGTTAATACGCCGTACATAACGTACTGTTTCTTGCAATTTATCTTGTTATGATACTATCAGCTATGTAATCCAAAAAACAATTGTTCCCAGGATTTTAGTTACAAATAAAACAATAGGTCATAAGTAATTATTCTTGAACGCGTAAGTATATACGTACCTTCGCAATTTTCCGCAAGGTAACTTTATTGCTTATTATAATAATAATGATAACCATATTAGATACTTATCTATGTAATCCGAATAATCACATAGGAATTTTAATTTTGAGCTTTTTTACACATTAGTATGAAATCTACCGTGATCTTTTTATAAATCTTTTCATTTTGTAAAATCTCAACGTTTGCATCATACTTACGTTAATAGTTTTTAATAAATCTTTCAAGTACAATTTTAACGTAGTTTGACTAATTGATATCTCTATTTATCTGGGGGCACGGCAGTGCCCCCGCCAAGTCGAGCGCGAAGCAAACACTGCCGTACCATCCTTTACTGGAACCATTTCGCCGCATTTTCAGGCCTCTATTTGAGAACCTTTAGATAAGACCAGAACGCAGAAATTTTCGTCATCTAGTAAGCTATAATCACACACTTAAAATCCAAAATTTCAAGTCTGTAGGTCAATTAGTTCCGAAGTTAAGCGAAAGCAAAGTTTCGCATTTATGACACTCACTCACTCACTGATGATCATCAAAATAGAACTAGTACTTCCCATTAACTCAGAGAGCTGAAATTTGGTACAGAGTTAGGGTTTAATGGCCACATAAAGGGAAAACTATAAAAACTAGGAAAATCGAAGATCTGGAGTAACACCACATTCATAATAATCAATACTACTAGCGCCACACCGGCGCCGTGGTGTTCGCCTGTACCGCTCACCGCTAGATGGCGCTAGCACTTTGAGCGTCGATTTTCTGCACCGC